TGTTCCATTTTAAAGTCAGTTTTCAGTGCTTTATGGTTAAGCAGTGCATATATGTTCTTGAAAGGAACTCCTTAGGTTTTGCAGAAGCAACAAATAGTTATTGTGGTAAATATGATTGTTAACTTGCCTAGAATATTCTTTAAAGCGAGTGACGGATAAGATTATTTCTGCAATATCCTTCCAAAAATAAAGCAGATAAAACAGCCAACAGGATATTACTCTCCCATTCTTGTGTTAACAGAAAGGAAAGAAAAATTAGGCTTTATTATTTGGTATTAGCCTAAATTATCTGTGCAGATTCAATATGAATCTTACAGAGAAAGTTTCCAAAACTTACTCCTCATTTGTAACTATGCATCCTCTAAATACATGCTATAATCATCTCTTTCCTAAACAATAAGATCTGTTCCTTCTGCTTTCAGAATATAAATACATACACAGCTGCATGTAAGTACATGCAAAGAGACAAATGCACAGTCCAAAAGAGGCACTTGGTCACTGAATATCGGCTTTTTACACAAACTCCTCTTCTGAAGCCCAAGGAGCAGTATTTGGAACACATAAAACCTCTTTGTATTATAAAAATATTAATCTAATTTTTTTTTGTGTGTGTGAAGTGAGACCAACTGAATATAATATTTGGTATACAAAAAAGTACCCTTCTTTCCTCCCAACATTTACTATTGAAAAAAAAAAAAAACCCACCAAAGAAATCCTACAAACAATCAAGCAGCAGCATTTTGGGGATGGGGGAGGATGAGGATATTTAGAGCTAGTTTTTTTCCTGGAAGGTGATGAGCTCTTTTATGAAAAGTTAGTATGTCATGACAAGAATATCTAAAGAATGCAATGACAAAGATCGTGACTACTTATATGCCTTTAAGGTGTACAAGTACCTACTCCTCCTTCATGTTTTTTATCATTACTGTTAATGTGGAAGTCCAGCATATAACAGCCTGTTTGTTTAAATCACTAATGTGAAATATTCTCCCTGACAGAATGAAAGCATTTGCTTTAGGACTAAACTTACCATCTTCACCCTTCTGTTGTCTAGTCTAATTAAAAAAAAAAGAAAAATAAACTAAAACATTTGCAATCTCTGGAATGCCGCATAACTTGACAATGAAATTTGTATTACAGCCAGTCCATACACATAAAAGAGCATCCTATAACATCTGACTGCAATTTTTTGTCAGGCCCTGCCCATTAAATGCATCTTCCATAAATGAGACTCATGAAATTTCATTGCACAGAAACATTATTGCTGAAATTTAATGATTTATGGCAGGCTATTACTTCAATATATTCCATTTAGCATCATGAACACTATCTACATCTTATAAGCTGATTATGTGGCACCAATTACCAACCTTACAAACTGAAATTATATGGAATAAAAACATTCAAAAAAACTCAGATTCCTGGATACAACTGCAGCTTTGGCATTGAACTTAATGCCATACATAAACTAAGGTTGGCATTTATTTTGGGGTGAAGGACGACAATTACTGTGTAATAAAGAATGAACTAAATTCAACTGTGATTTACACCCTCCACAACCCCACTGAAGTTCACTGGATTTCACACATTGTAATTCGGTACTAAATTTAGCCCAAAGTAGACCTACGTATCTACATCTTTATCTCTATTTTGAGACACTTCAGTAGTTTCACTCTTTTAACTCCAGCAGGTTTGGATTAGTCATTCCGTATTTAGAAATGTCTCTTCCTAAGAGGAACAGTAGGTTTACCCATTTCTGATAAGGGAAAGCCAATAAATACTAGTAATAAACACTAGTTAATTTTTGTTTACTTCTATGCACCAGTTCTTACACTAATGGTTTTGAATGCAAAGCCACAGAATCAATAAAATATGCCAAACTCATCTGAGAGAGGCACCTCCCTTCCCTAAAATAAAATAACCAAACCAAACAAAAAGGTCTCATGATTAATACTTTCTGTTTTGTGTATACATTATTACCCATACACACAGTCGCATACAAATTAAGGACAAATACCTAAATCAATTTAGATGTCAATACACTAATAATGAGAAAAATTTACATTAAAATTGAGCATTAACAAAGATCTTTTACAGGAGAATTACATTAATAACCCTAAAATGCTTAGAAGAGAGACTGAATTTATCAAGATACATACATATTTCAAGATGAACAGACTGTGATCTGCACTAAGATTTTTGCACAACATTTCAAAGTACATGCTACCACACCTGACTTTAAAGATAGAAATAAGAAGACCCTTTAAGAAAACATGACCCAAAATGGTTTACATAAAAAAGCAAGTTCCTTATACTGTTATAGATACATTAATGTTTTCACAAGTTTTGTCATAATAACTAATCAGCAAGAACATACATAACAACACTGTTGTTCTTTAATTTGGCTTTGTGGGAGATCCTTAAAAAAAAATAATCTGTAAAACCTGTATCAATAGAGTATACTGCATTCATTGATAAATGAAACAAATTGGTTTGTATAGTCATATAATATTTCTGCGACAGAGATTTTTCTTCTTAACACATGTAACTGGTAGTCCAACCAACCTGAAGTCAAGACAAAGGCTATTTTACTTCAAACAAGTACTAAGCTTTTTCATATCTAAACATGCAACTTTAGCAAATGCTAAATAGATTTTATTAGTTCATAAAGTTTGTTTCCTTGTTTTATTAGCTTATGGCTAACTGATAAGAATAGATATCACAACTCTTAACTGGTAAAAGATTCCATTTATTATTACTTATGTAAGTGCTTCCTGAAACAAACTGATTTTGCTTAAACTTCATTTTCCTGTATTTTTCATAGTCATTATTAGGATGAAAGATGAACAGCCTGAATTTATTCAATTTGAGATTGAAGTGTATCAAACAAATGAAAATAATGACATCTATAATATAAACATTAACTATCCAGGTTAGAAGTCCTGGTTTGTGCTTAATCTCAGGCAGCCAGCCAGCCAATGACTACTAGCTGTTTTTAAGGTGAGAGCACTCAGTATACGTTCTCAGTTGAAGTGGGTGTTTCATGCCCAAATCATGGCCCCCAAAAATGAATTTACATTGAGTACTTGCTCTAGATATGACAGCTGTAGCACAAATTTCTGCTGCAAAATGAATTATTGGTAATATTCAAAATGGGGTCTGTGCTCTACTCTGATTTAGGACAAATATGCTGTTCCCATAACACAGGCTCTCAATGCACATAAACAATCATGTCACATCATATCTATGAGGAACTCTTTTTCTTTAAAGAATCAGGGTTAATTTAAAAAAGATCTCACTTCCTTTCTCTTCTAGCAACTCACATTTCCTTTGCAACTTGGTCATGAAAGTACAGGTTGCTATCCAGCCTCCAGCAGTTAAATCAACAGTTAAAAAAACCAAGAAAGCTTGAGTTTAGTGCTTCTCTTCTTGCTTTGTCTACCAATGTCTGCAAATGATGAAATAATTTCCTTAATGCTTAGAAGGAAAGTTTTGTTGCTTGCATCAGGCGATGGTGCAAGAACAGAGTTCTTCAAGTACAGAGCTCTTCAAGTACAACACAGTCCAAATCATTCCAGTCACCAGCTAACCCGGTTCAAGAAGATATGGCACTACTGTTTTCTCTGTATGCATCATATTAAAAGTCTAGTATAGACTGACTGTGACCACGGAAATTAGGGGACACTTACTCCAGAAATCTGCATAATTCACATAACCTTCGGCTTTTATGAAAATACTTGTATTTGTTTAAATTCCCCTTACAATCCTGTATTTTTAAGACTGCTGTTTATGTAGTTCCAAGGCAACAGACCAATGCAAACTTGTAATTACCACAAACCCCACCAGCACAGTCACCAGGAGACTAATTTGGATTTAGAGAGAGCTGCTAGCGAAGTCACAGTACTCAGTTAACTCCTCAAAATATCCTCATGCTCTTGTGCACAGAAGAAACCCATAAACCACCCACCAACCCCAGGCACGAAAACTGCGGTATCCCTGAGTTCTGGGAGTAAAACCAGGAAATACAATAAAATAAGTTCATCAAATGAATGTGTTTGAACCTGTTCTTAAATATAATTATTAGAGATGAACACTGATACTGCCAAGTTTTTCCCAACTTCAGTTGGCATGAAAAATACGTAATTTTCACTTATTCTTGACAAGTGCTTAACAGAAATTTGCATTTTTCCTAGGATACAAGAACAAAAATAACATTAAGTAAATTTCATGAGTAAATACCATAAGTAAAATTAATGGATGACAGTATTTAACTCTCATGGTTGCTCACGTTCTGGATCATTTTTAAGATCCGGAATAATCACACCTGACAGCTTTTTTGGTAACACCTCTTTCTGACTGGGCTAAATGCTCTGTCTAAAAAAACCCAGCTTATATTTAATCATAAACAGACCATGAAAAGAGAATAAAGCAAGCCAGAAGAGCAACATACATAATTAAATATTTAGTGGTTTGATATTCTTTTGGAAAGCATACAATTTGAAGATTGCTACAAATTCAGAACAGCTTCTTAAAGCTAAGACTTATTCTGCTGCATGAGATACTTCAAGTACATTAAATACAGTTTTCTAAAATAGCTTGCCAAGAATAAGAGCCCATTAATATATATATAATAAATACAGAAGTCACTAACTTTTCAAACTTCTAAAAACTTACAGCACATGCTCTGGAGTGTGCAGGGTTAAAAAAGAAAAAAGTGTGTGTATTCCAGATATATATACACACACACATACACAAGCAGATGCCTCAATCAAGAAAATATTATGAAATTCAACCTAAGCCTTACAATCCACGAAGCTCTGCAAGTATCAATCAAGAATGCTTTGCTCTGTACATCTCAGAGAAGATTGCCTGATTGCCTGTTTTTACCTAGTTAATTAGGTATGATTATTCATAAGTACTTCCTTATATGATTCTTTATATTCTAAAGAATTTATACAGGATATTTACATCTCACATGGAACATATGCTAAATTTCTTACCTTTCTTCCTGCTAAAAGCACGATTCATGTTGAAAAATCTATCCAGTCAAAGACGTTCTTGGCTTTGTTGATTTTTCACACACACAATTTAACCTGCAGAATAATACACAGAAGAAAACAGAGAAGACAGACATTACTGTATTTGAAGTAAGCTCACTATCTTCATATTAGAGACAATGCAAATAAGCGTCAGAGTTCTGAAATAATTCAGGGAAATAAAAGCGAGATGTGCTTTGCTGACAAAGAAACTGCAGAACTGAGAAGATTTATGTTCAAATGCCCAGTGGTACTTCATACAGAAAGAAATATGTGAAGCTCTTCTCACCGAGATTTCACAGATACAGAGCATATGGTATTATATGTGAAGAGAAATACTACCCACAAATAGGCTGAGAAGAAAGCTTTGAAATGAATGCTGACTACAAGACTTCATAAAAACATTCAGTTCACATTTGCACTACCTTATTTTGTGTCATTTAGGCTGTCAGATTATTTCAAGCTATGCTGTCATCTTCATGTGGGCTTGACATTGAAAAAAAAAAATCACGATATAAAGACTTCACTCAGGGATTCAATACTAAAAAAAAAAAAATGGCTCTCGATGCAACTGCCTCCTTGCTCCGACTACAACAGATCACACAGTAATTGCTGCATTTTCTTCACTTAACACCACCAATAAACTCAAAATTTTATCTTAACTTCTGATCCACAAGATTTTATTCCTTACCAACATTCCTCAGCAAAACAAATTAGATACAACACATCCAATGTCGTTCAAACCCATTCTCATTTGTTAGTATATTTTCTTTTGTCAGTCACATGTGAGAATACCCCCACCACCCCTTTCCATTCTTTTCAGATATTCAAGGCAAAAGCTGCACGAGCACCCCTTCTCTGCTCTCAAAGCAGTCCACTCAAAGAAAAAAAAAAAGGGCAGAAAATAAAAGCACTTGGTATCAGATTATCTTTGAAATCACTTACACTATCTTTGCTTTGAATAAACGCAAACTTAAGCCAGTATTTCAAATGTCAGTATCAAGATGACTAACTTGTTTAAGATACTTTATACAGCTCATGAACACTTTTTGTGGTGCTTGCCCCCCTCTTTAAATAGTGTTCAATACCAATTAAACCAAATATATACCAATTTCCATGTGAACACTTGATATTTTACAGATTAGAACACAAGTGCAACTGCAGCTAAAAAAAAAAAACCTTCATTTTATTTTCAAATAATCACTGATGTGGTAGGACTACTTCTCTATATAATCCTGTGAGAATGAAGGAATAATCCCTGTTTACCTGAACTGTAGTACCCTAGATGTGCAACCAACTAACTTTTTGCTCTTTAAAGTACATTTACCAGATCATTTGGTTTTTACAGACTTTGCTAAGTAGTTCAGAAGGGAGGATGCAATGACATAAGCAAAGGTAGTAGGATAGATTTTCCATCTTGTTATTTTGATACGAAGTCAAGAAACAACACATTAGGTACACTACACAGCGGATTTTAACAGGAAAACTGAAGAAGCCCTGCATACACCTGTAACCATTCCTCCTGTTTGCCTAAAATGTATCATCAGTGTTACACAGAAAGATGTGGACAGACGTCAGTGAAACCCAAACACACTGCTAAGGGTTACAAAATCCTAGGAATTATTTCAACAGCCTCCCTGGAATGGGCAATAGCACTACTGGAGTAATTCCAGTTAATACTCACCCGTGAGGGCGTTTCATCAAAAGCTGCCAACGCATGAGTAGTTCTCACAGGGAAGGCACAGAGTAGGACTTTCAACAGTTGAAATTATAATAATTAATTCAGTTTAAATGAAGTAACAAACAGCAAAGAACATCAGAATTTTGACTTTGCAAGCAACTGGTAAGTAAGTGTGTTTAGCTTAGACATTTACCTTCAGAAGCAACACACGCAGCCTATTACATACCATACAGATACATAAGCAATGGAAGAATTTTGTTTAGGATGTTCACCTTCTTCATGAACTATTACAGTCAGTGACGAAAGCAGTTTTGAGGAAAAAGAGCTCTTAGATATCTCTGGCAGTTGTCTTACACAGCACTTGAGCAACCACTTCAGTTCTCCACTATGGAATTATAATACGCCCTTTTTCAGAACCCCTTTTTCTCTGTGTGTGTGTGTATTCTTGTCCTCATCCAAGAGACTACTAAGTAGCATATTTGAGATGGCTTACTGAGTAGAGAATCTCCTTAAGACTGCATGCACATCATGAAGCTGTTGACTAAGCCACACTTCTAAAGATCACCACTGAAGTATTTTGTTTAAAAGACAGCATAACTAAACATGTGGGGTTTGCATAGACAAGGAAATACTACCATTAATCTACCTTTGGCCTAATAAAGGCCAAAATTTATTGAGTGCATGCCTAAAAATTGACAGCATTTGCCAAATGTGTGCTCATAATTTCAGTTCCAATGAAACATCAATAGAACAAAATACGGAAGTGGATTAGGTAACAACTAGTATTAAAATACTTAATCAATTTACTTCCACTTATCACAAGGAATGAAACACTTAGCTTACATGCAACTGTTTTTAAAATTCCCTTCAATTCTGATATGAACAACTTCATCAATCTCCCAGATTCAGAAAAAGGATTTCTCTTCTGAAATCCTGTATGGATTCTGATCCCATCTGGATCTGGATGGGTTAAATAACCATAAAATTTTGCTATTAAAAAAGATAAATAAACCAACTCAAATTCCACAAGGCTAATTTCAAATTCCTCAGCTGGGCTCAGGAGAAGAGGGTCATGCCAGACTTGTAAGCAGCACTAATAAGTTTCTTATCAGGAGAAGAGCAAAGTTATGCTTTGATACCTGTGATATCATTGTTCACAATATTCAAACAGAGAAACAAAGCTCTAAGGAGAAAGCAAGCTGTTCTCTGACCATGGATGCTAGACAGGTTTTCTGTTAGAATATGATTTTGTTTCCGCCAATGCTCAACACACAAAAGCGGCTGGAAGAAACTGAGTTACAAAACAGTCTGTTAGAAGCCTGTAATGAAGTCAAAAAGAAGGCAAGTCTGAAAATCCAATTATGCTACAGCCCTGTGTAGAAAGGGGGAGGTCTTCTTATGACACCCTTTGTTCTGAAAGGGTAAAGCAGTCCCAACAATCAGAGACACTAGGGAATAGGAATGTGGACCAAACCACTTCATCACTCATCACTCAGGAAGACACACCTATATAAGGAATGTTTCTTCACCTTACTCCTAGGAGTTTTCTTTAGCTTTGTCCAGAAACCAAACCCTACTAGGAAATACAAACCTGCATGTGATTTTCACAAAATGGTTAATTGACAAAACATGAAGAGTTCTTACAGGTATAAACTAGGGAAATTTGGGGTTGTATCAGGTTATTTTGTTGGGGGCAGAGGGAAAAGAGACTGAAAGGGAAATACAAAAAAGTAAAAATAAAATAAAAAGATAGAGAGAAAAGGCTTAGAAAAGTAATGATAATAAAAAAAAACAACCCACAAATAACAGCCAAATATCCCAGGTGGGGGAAACACAACATTCTCAGTCTGAACAGTGAAATAGGCATGTGGCATGGAAGGTTATTTAAGTTGCCCTATCAAACTTTAAACAGTAGCAGTGGGGAAAGCAAACACCCTCCTTTCTCCTTTGTCTTCACTGTCATTAACCCCTTCCTTTTCACAGTGAGGTGCTTCTCAGAGTGAGAAGGAAACTGCAAAATGGCAGGGGGTGCAATGAAATTAGTGGGTTTGGCGACAGTGGTGGTTGCAGGCATTTGGGCTGGTGAGTGCAAGGGTGCTAAGTTTTGAAGGTGAAATCACCTCCTCTGTAATTATTTAATGTCAACGATAAGGTTAGTTGCTGTCTTCTATGCTTCATGCAGCAAAGGAAGCTGAACAAAGGATGAAGAGTGGCAGTCTTCCAGCTTTCAGCACAAGCAGGTGCAGTGCTACCCGGACACTGAAACACCACTGAGGCTTCCACAGACATCTTTACATGCCTGTGTGTGCTCCTTCACAATGTTGTGGTTTGATATGTTTTCTAAATTTAGAGCTGTCTCAGACAAGCCAAGAGAAGGGGTACTTCTGAAGGGGGTAAAACAAACCACCAGAGTAACTGCTCTCATTTATCTCTTTATTTCCTTTTAAAAATAGGGTATTCCTCAGGATTCCCCCTTGCAGACAGTTCCTTCAAATGGCATGGACTATAACAACCTTTTTTTGGTGTACTTCTTTTTCATTTAACAAATAATTTTTCCAACAAAACCTCCCTGAAACCCCCAACTTGCACCCTTACACTCCCTTTAATAAAAATCTAAATTCCATACCGCCCCTTCCCACACACACACATCACAGAGTTTCCATACAAAGTCAAATTTAACTTCAGAAGACCTGAAGATTCAGAGTCTTTTCCCTCTCAGACCCCAACATTTCAAGCATACGGGATAACACTTCTTAAAGAACAAAAAAACAAAATATCTCAAAGCCTGTTTTCAAAAGGGCTGCAGCACACCGGAATGTGTGATTCATTTACTTGAAATGAAACTTACACTCACACAGTTACTGCTGAAGGCAGGATGAGAAACTTGAAATTTCTTTTTCTGAGTTAGACCAAAACACCAGGACACTATTGTCCAGATCTGACATGTGACATAATGTAGGAAAATTATGATATTAAGACTATATGAAGTGATAAACAAAAACCAGATAAACACTGCCATATCATGATGCACTCCCTTTTAAATGGCAAGTAACTGAAACACTAACTTCCTGCAACCCTTTCTCCTATGAAAGACTAAAATCAAAAGAATATGTTGACACATCAATGAACAAAATTCAGTGCAGACCCAAACTTACACTCACATGCATCCTTTCTTAATGTTCAGGAAGCAAGCAGTTCCATTCCTGGTGATGAAAATACTAGTCTCTTTTGAGTTTGTAAGTAATAATAGCCTATAGGAGTATAAACCACAAACAGCATTTAAAGAGAACTTAGTGCTATGAAATTCTGTAGAAAAAAATATATCTTCAAGATCCTCAAAACAGCCTCAATAAAAATGAACAAGTGTCAGCTGCAA